TATGTGTGATGCAGGTCCCCCCCCCCGCATATTTTGAGTTTTGACTTTTGTTCCATGGGAATCCATGCTTCGATTCGACCAAGCATGCTTGTTTTGCTGGCTAATTCTTGTTAAAATTATGATTTTGAATATAATTCGAACTGAATTCACAATGGATCCTGGGGTATGTGCTATCAGAAGACTACACAGTGTTACATAGTATTACACATTGTTACATATTGTTACACAGTGCTACATAGTGCTACAATGTGTTGATAGTGTTACATAGTGTTATATAGTGCATGATTCAAGTTGTTTACTGCATCCACTGCATTTAATGTACGTTATAAATGATGTGCATATGAGTCCTCAAATATGATTAAGTTTTTAATAATGTTCTTGTACCTTTGGATAAAAGATTATTTAAGAGATGGGGGCAATCTGTCCATAAAAATATCTGCTACTACCGCATTCAATGAAAAATCATTAATACTTTTGAAGACAAAAGTCTGCAGATCAAAAAAGTGACATAATTCTCTTATGTAGTAGGAGGACATTTTGAAAAACAAGAAAAGTTTATCATTAGAATAGAATAGAAACTTTATTTCACGAGGGAAAACGTATTAACCGTAAAAGTTATCTAACATACGGCCCTCGCACTATTTTGATATTTACAGGCATAAAAAGTATAAAGGATTACGACTATTTACATTTGAGAAAAAAATAATTAGTAATGAATACAATTACAATTTAGTAAATATTTACAATTTGTACTAAATATATCTTCGATATGGTTAGTAAGGGTAAGCTTGTTAAGAAAGATTTTACGAATTTTTTGTTTGGTGTTAGTATATGAAGAGCAAGATGGCGAAGCAGCAAGTTGCTTACAATCGCTATCTAAGCAATTAAAAAGAATGGAAGCACTGTACAGAAATGTTCGTTTACCAGAGTCAGTACGCGGGAAGAGGGGTTGAAGGTCATATGCGCAAGCTCTAGTCAGAGCCCGTTGTCGAATAGAAGATAAGAATTTAAACATTTGCTTAAATAAAGATGGAGCACTGGGATTTGCGAGAATGTTACTTATTAAGAGAAGCTTCCTAAATTTAACAAGATCAAAAATTGGGTTTATTCGAATCTGGGAAAAAAGAAGAACAGAAGGAGTAGAAAAGTCAGCGTCTAGAATAATACGTGCTGCACGCTTTTGCAGTCGAAGAATGCGAGAAACAGAGACGCCTTTGTTGAAGACAGTTTTTGTTGAAGACAATTTCCGTAGGCCCGGATAAATTGTTTGGAATTATAAAGAGAAAACGTTTTCTTTACAAAAGTTTTACAAATCACAGAACAAAAATCATAAAAAAAATAAAATAAGATAGAAAAATATCACAAAAAATGAAGCAACCTCGTGCCCAGGATCTTTGCTCGTGAGAAGCAAGAAAATGAAGTTATCTATCACATGTAAACCGGCATTTCATACGGTAAAGTGTGAAAGGTTTTTCAAAAAGGAAAAAGTTGCTTAAAGTTGCTCCAACCGAAAAAAGTTGCTCAGAACGCAAAAAGTTGCTCAAAAGTTGCCGAGACGCACAATCGGGACATGCCTAAGCACGCGTTTTTCCATGTACTGTAAATATTTTTTTGCTATGTAAAATGCCTGTAGAACAAAATTTTTACCTCTTTTTTTATTGTTTTTCTAAAAAGTACTGCTGGGGTGATGAAGAATGACGTTTACAGTTTCGTCATATCTCATCTCATTCTCAAGTTATCACACTTTCGCACTTTCTATATCTTGAGTTGTGACGTCACAAGTATGATTTGAGATAATGGCAATGACAAGAAAGTATGATATCTCGGTGAGTATTTAATAAAATGCAATGAAACTTGGCACGCTTAGTGGGTGCAACAAAGTCAACAATTTGGCATGTTTATATGGTTGTCATGGCAACACACTCGTCCCCAGTCCCTTCTCTTCCAATTTCTATATGATCATTTCTAACGAAATAATTGCTCATTCAGTCGTTCCGCACGTTGTAACCAATAATCTGTTGGCGTTGTAATGCGATTGTATGCAATAAAGTATTGGGTTGTAAGGGGTCTACGATTAATCCAAACGTTAATCGAAATCCAAACCCTAACCTAACCCCTAACCTTAAAGCCGGTGGCCTGTTTTTCAATTCCCTCCGGGAATTTCAACACAGTATAGGTTGTAGAAATGTTTTGCCTATCCAAACCTTAACCCTAAGGAACCGTTCATAAAGTATGTGTATTGAGGAGTGGGTGGAGGGTAAATTGGGGGCGTATGAAACAAATTATCTAACTTTTTTTTGGAGGGCCGGTATGAGACGAATTACGACATTTGTGTGGGCGTTACGAAACAAAAAATGAGTGGAATACCATGTCTATGATTAATGGAACTACAGGCGTTTATAATACAATATACTTTCAAAAAATCGAGTGTATGTTCCTAAATGTTTTTGGCCGTAAATTGCAATGTAGCACAGTGGTATTTATGAAAATGTCTCGATCGGAACCTATTAGTTTGACATGTCTGCAACCTGAACAGTCTTTGATTACGTTATTCTGCCGTCGGGTGGTTCCCCTGCACATTTACTTTTAGAATGATTTACTATTCGGAAAGATATGAAATATGTCACGACGTTCTGTTGATATAACCAAAGTCTACAAATATGCGAGATCGATCCTAACTTGAGATCAGGCTCTATTTTAGAAATATAGCCTGACACGCACTGCAAAGTTTATATTTTGTATCCAATCAAAAAATCGCTGGAGAAATTTGCAACTAATTGTATAGCAAAATCAGCAAATAATTTTGTGAGTAATTTGTTTGTTTCACAATTTTTTAACTAATGAATTTGTGTTATGAGCGTTTTTGTATAAAAATTGGTGTTAAGATTTTGAGTAATGTTTTTCCTTTTTTCTAGATCTGACCCAGATTTTCACCAAGGGCATATAAATAGAGAATAATACATGGGTGGACAGAAATACCATATTTATTTCGAGTGTTGAACATGATATCTCACTTGTTCGCTGCACTCAGGCTTGTAAGATAACCTGTTTTTCCCTTGTCTAATGTTTGTGGTTTTTTGCCAGTTATACAATGGCATTACAACGCCAATAGATTGGTATTATTGGTTACAACGTGCGGATGACCAATAGACAACGACGCTAATCGCGGACTATCGTTGCGGGACCGAGGGGGGCCGGCTGGATATAGTTTAACTAATATCGTGAGAAAAAACCCAGCGAAATCGAACCATTGAGATTTTAGATTTTTGCCTTCAAAGATTGATCCCTGCTGACAGAGGTCTCTATTGTGACAGAAACGGTATTAAATTACACCGCGACGGCATGGCGCCTAAATGAGAGGTCAAAATAAACTGGGAAATAACGCTTAACTTTCAAGATACCGTTTAAATGGGTAGATTGACTATTATCATTTTCACCCATTACAAAAAATACATACCAAATTCAACCAATTTTCACACTGTTCCTAGGCGAAATAATCAACAGATTTTTTCGCGCGAGCACATGTCATACATGTATAATTCATATAGACGGGAACAGAAATGAATATTTATATGCGGGCACGTAGTTCCAAGACCAGCTAGCGGGGTCGAAACGTGCTTTCCCGGTTATGCTTGGAGCCTGATGAGAACATAACCTTAGTTTTGAACACAAAACACATGGGACTTGACCTGGGTGGCGATACATTGGCATTCACCCAGGTCTTGGCATCATCACAATACATCTCACATTATAAACGCACCGGTATGACTCGATTGATTGTTTTTGTGAAAATCGCGCAGAATCGAGTCATACACGTCACAGTTTTACTATTCATGTCTCATTTTAGCTTGAATGTTCAGACTTGTGTATCACTTATATTTCATATCATTTTACAACTCATATATCACCAGTATCATCACTTTATATCTATGTTATAAATCAAGCTTCACCAACATCACAGTCCATGCATCATCATAACATAATTCACTATCATTCATACACATATAATCAGTATCTATACCATTCCAATATATATCACACACATAATCATTATCTATACCATTCCAATTCCATCAGTCACATTTAATCGAAATTTCATTTCACTCCACACATCATTTGATGTTCACCCAATAAAATGTCCCAACAGGTCAGCAGGGCCATTCCACAGCATTCCAGGATCTGAATACCTGCAACCACCTTTTTGATCCAATTCCAAAAGAAAAACAAACAAAAATCATACAGATGTGCATAACCCAATGGAGACACAGAACTCGGAGGACCATATACAGCGTAAACACCTTCAGAGATGTTCACCACTGCAGGCATCTCATTGCCCTCAAGAAAAGGCAAAAGACTTTTTAGCAAATCTTTTGCATTACAATCCCCACTGTATTTTTCTATTGATTGTCTTGTGAGGTAAAACACTTTACAATTTTGGACACTACTGTCGATCATTTGAATGTGCTCACAACTGAAGTTTCTGACATTTTCTGTGGAACTTGCGACTGTCAGGGCACGTCTTCTTTTGCATTTTTCCTGATTACACAGTTTGTTTTCTGCATCAGCCACAACAAAACATCTGTCACCTCTTGTGCTTGTTTTCACAGAGTACACATTTCTACCAACATGAGCACAGTCAGGGTGGAGTTTCTTTCGCTTTTTCTCCTTGGGAATGTAACTTCCACCAATTTCATAGTTACACTCTGGGCAGTTTTTTGGCTTCCAGAAGTTTGCATATACAAATGGACATGCAGGGCACTTGCTTTTGCACCTTTTTGTTGCATTGCCCAGGATAATCTAAGAGAGATAATAGCATTCCGATTAACCAAAAATGAGTAATACAGATTTGATTCAATATGTTTAAACAATCCTATACTGTATACATTGGAAATTGCAAATATGGCCGAAATATTCTGAAGTCAAAATGAGTAATACAGATGTGATTCCATGTATATCATTGTGTGATTCAAACATATGTTGAAACAATCCTATTACTGTAGAGTCTATAGATTGGAAATTGCAAATATAGCCGAATATACATGGGCCGAATTTAACGATCCAATTTGTCATATAAGCAATACAATTATAACTGATTATTAATACACACTATTTACCTAAACGTATGGTTAAATATAGGCATGATAGTGTGTGATTAGGTATTTTACATCATGATATGAAACCAAAAATGAGTAATACAGATGTGATTCAATATGTTGAAACAATCCTATTACTGTAGAGTCTATAGATTGGAAATTGCAAATATAGCCGAATATACATGGGCCGAATCCAACGATCCAATTTGTCATATAAGCAATACAATTATAACTGATTATTTACCTCTTCTCCGTCCATGTTTCCAAAAAGCAAAACTCACATATCTCCTTATTCTCAGCAACAAAAAGCCGTCCAAAACAGTATAAATTCAGCAGTCAAAAAGCGTTGGCTACATACTATATAAATCCTATATAAATGCAGTATTAAACACGCGGCAAACCTGCATGGCAACACGGTCCTGCGGCAAAACCCCCAAAAACGGGCAAGGCTTGATTGTGATTGGTGACTACCTCGGACTACCCTATTTAATCTACTGGCCAATCACAAGACTCGATCATATAGCTAGGTATTTACTGCAAAATCTAGCCTCCTCCGCAGGCATCTCACCCGACGAATCGGGTGGTGGGAAAAAGTTTGGTGAGATGCCTGCCATAAATCGACACAAAAATTTGCACTGCGCATACCGGCTCGCGCATGCAAATTTCGACAAACCCAAACTTAGGGGGAGTAGGAAGGGCTTACGGCAAGGAGTGAAGAAAATTTTGTTTTCAACACGATGGCTTAGAAGACGAGTAAAACTGTAAAATTAACGAATAATCTTGCTCTTCAACATTGCAAATACAAAGGGAACTTTGACTAAGGAGCTGAGAACGTTATCGAGAGCCGACGCAGCGATTTACTGGGATTGTTTAGAGATATTAACGAGTGACTTTGCAGAGCAGTGAATTCACAATTATGTCGTCGATTCATGTCAAGACATTTGTCAAGAGAAGGTTTCAATTGAAAGTTTATCGTTGATATATACAAATTTCTATTCAAATTGTTGACGACATTTTATATCATATTAATAAGCTGAAAGTGCAGTGATTTAGTCGAAATTGTAACACGAAAAGGAACGATCGAAAATTGTCAATATATAAATGTAAATTCAACTGTTGACATCTGTGACTGTGCCTGCGTAAATATATAAACACCTCTTGCCTTGTTTTAATACGCTTGTATGGAAGGAAATCATTAATAAAAGTCTTAAACAAATAGCTTTCTTATTGTGGAATATACTGTGCAATTTATCCCTTGGACAAAGACAAAATTTTCAAACTTGAGTGTCTTAAATGTGGCGAAAATTAGCAAAAGCTTTCTTAAATCAGTGGCCCTGTTTTATATATGGGTGTGAGTAATGTAGACATAAGGGGAAAGACAACTGGAATTTAATAAGAATCTAATAGTTTTCCATGTGGTGCAACATGTATGAAGACCTGTCTTAATAACATTTGCCTTGCATTTGTTTATAATTAATCAATGGAGGCATTACATACATTCCATTTTGCTTACCAAAGTTCACAGACAAAATATTTACATGGGTAAAATCCATTTTGAAGGCAAATTTCCCTATAACCATACAAACAGTCACTGACGAAACTTCCCAGTGATAGATGTGTTTTCAGGGATGGATCCAGCATGATCTGGTAGGGGGGTGCTCTGCCAGCTCTGGTGTCGAGTGACTCGAGTTGTGTTGTCATGTGTGCAGCTCGCCCATTAACATACAGCAACAGCAGTATTCTGAGAATTTGGCAAAACAACCTCCATGTGGTACAAGTGTACTGTGTACAATATCTCATTTTGTCTCTAATACTTTTTGCTTTATCATGAAAAATAGCACACACATACCCCCTGGCCAGGGCTAGGGAGGGGGTGTGCACCCCCCCCTCCCCAGTAAATCCACCCCTGCATGTTTTGCTATTAATTGTTACATTAACCACCCAAAAGTCTCCCAATGGTGGGTACATATTAATTATAAGCTGTGAAGCTTTAGATTAGCCCATTGTTTGCACTCTCTCCTGGAATAGTAAAATTGTCTGATGTTAGACAGAGAAAAAGCAGGGGCGTGCCGGCAAGCAATGAGACAACAAGAACTTGTTGTGGGCCCCTGGCATTGTAGGCTCTTACATGATACATGTCAATCTAGATTTATTATATTTAAAACAAATAATGTCAAGAGCAATTTTATTTAAACATGAACAAGGGAGATACATATAATTAGAGAATATGCAGATACATCATAAATTTCTTTATTTATCAAATCATGGATGTCATGTGGCCAGTACGTGTAACACAACTAGGCATATACTATATTAGAAAGAGGTTGTTACATGTGTCACAATGCAACTTATTAATGGTTTAGCATATTCACATGATATTAATTAAGGGGGTGAGTTCCAATTAACTATTTAACCAAGTGAAGCCTGGTTCACATATACCTGCTGTTTGTTGATGGGCTATTGTCGTTAAAAGTTCAACTAAATAATTCACAAAAGAATGTATGCATCAGCAGCTGTAAACAATAATGCAGGCATATGTAAACCAGGCTTAAGATGCCAACAAAATCTTGATTTTTGTAGTAATCAAATTTCTGTAGTTCATATTTCCAAGTTGTTATCTCTCCTCACTTATTGAAATGGTTGCTTCAACAGAAAGATCTTTTCCTTTTATATATCAATTCACTTAACATGTTGCCAAATGTCTGATGATTTGACTAAAATTAGTAAAATATAATCGAAATGTCAACCCCTTCGGCCCTTCATATAAATAAACATGCAAAATAATATTCCAGAAAACAATACAATTTAATATAATTCCTTTATTAAACAAATTATACCTTTCGTATCGTTCCATTCTTCGTTTTGCGTTCGAAATTATGCCAGATAATTTCCTCAAATTGTAGTTCCTCGGCTGAACAATTGATACATTGTAAACATAATTTTGGCTGGTTCGAGCGAGCGATTCAATTAAATTTGCACGTCGTTTTTAGACCGCGAGAGACATTGCGATATATAATCCTTTCAATTGACCAACTAATTTTCGTATAACTTGAATATTTCGATGCATTTTAAAACATTTTTAAGGTTAATACTCGCGTATGGAACGCCATGTGTCCAAAAATTATTTAACGTTAATTATATCATATCATGACTAAAATTGTCATTATATATAAATAATTGATAAACGAACAGACATTATATCAAATCATGACTTATTCGTTTTTGTCATTATTTGATATAATGTTATTAACATTAAGCATTATATCATATCATGAACTTCCGAAAAGTCATGATATGATATCAAGACATTTCGACAAAATCATTATATATCATATCATGACTTTTCGACAAAATCATTATATGATATCATAAGCATTTGTGTAAGTCCTGATTTGATATAATGCTAATGCGTTACACTATGATATCAAATAATGACTTTTCAGTTGATTCATGATATGATATCATGTAAAAGAACTTTTTCATTATATCATATAATGAAACAGCGCCGAAAAGTCATTATTTGATATAATGCAAAGCGTAGTGCGCCATCTGTCCAAAAATTAAAACTGTCCAGAAATCAATTAACCTTATAACAACTCAAACGTCCGGTAACTTTTAAAAAACCTCCGGTTCATCGGCCGAAGGCTACAAACAAAATCTCTTCGATTACGATCGATCTTCCTCCGTTTTGCGCTTTCAGCAGCTAAGAATCCTGCTTGCATTCGATTTTTTTAATTTAAAAAGGCTGAATTTATGGCGAGTGCCGAACGTTGCTGGGAAGAAGCAATAACTAGAGCCGTGCAAGGAGCAGTTTGGTCCGTTTGGCAGACAGAGGTCAGTAAGATTTTAACCTATAAGAAGAGGACTCTATGAATGAGGTCAGTAAGATTTTAACCTATAAGAAAAAAAGATCAAAGTGCCGACACAAAAACCTCCTCAGAAATTTGTAAATTTTCCCCTTACGCCTCAGAAAAATCGCAGAGATCAAAAGATACCGACAGGCTTAACCTCTCAGAAACGACTTTGGGGTCAACCTTCAGAAATATTCATCCATAGGGGGAGGGGGGAAGGGTGGCTGGACATTGAAAGGGAATGCACCAAAAGGACCCAACCAATTCTCGCCGCCGGCATAGAGCGCGACTAGCACAAGTTTAATTAAGTTAATCAAACGTTATAAACCAGGTTTGTATGACCTACATAGTGTTTCATACAAGTTCCGAGGCATTAAGCTTTGAATATTTATCAATATCTTATTTTACATAAAGGCCGCAGAGAATTATCCTCAGAATAGCACCCTGAGCTATTTCTATAAATAATGGTGGTGGCAACCATATAATAAAACTAATAATAATAATAGCCGGCAAACTTTGCGAACGACGTACCCCACCAAATATCGAGGGCAGTGTTGTTTGCTCTGGTTGTTTTCTGTTTATATAATGGTTGCCACCACGGATGTTTTATAGCTCTGGTGGTATTCACTGGAAAAAAAAAGTGAAATCCATACTACGAAATTTGCAATTGCACCACTAAATCCATAGTATATTCATCCTATTCCTTAATATATCCATACTATGGAAATATACAATTATTATGGATAACCAAAATCTATTCTACTTCCAATAAAGGTCCATACAATTTCCATTCTATGACCTTCTACGGATTTTCAAAATTTTTTCCAGTGATTCTGAGTATAATTTTCTGCGGCCTTTATGTAAAATAAGGTATTGATAAATATTCATAAAGATAAAGCTTAATGCCTCAGTACTTACACGAAACACTATGTAGGTCATACAGACCTGGTTTATAACGTTTGAACTTGATCTTGTGCTGGGCGCGCTCTACGCCGGCGGCGAGAATTGGTTTGGTGTGGACGAGGTCGCCACTCGCCATAATGCAGCCTCTTTAAATTAAAAAAATCGAATGCAAGCAGGATTCTTAGCTGCTGAAAGCGCAAAACGGAGGAAGATCGATCGTAATCGAAGAGATTTTGTTTGTAGCCTTCGGCCCATGAACTGGAGGTTTTTAAAAGTTACCGGATGTTTGAGTTATTATAAGGTTAATTGATTTTTGGACAGTTTTAATTTTTGGACAGATGGCGCACTACGCTATTGCATTATATCAAATAATGACTTTTCGGCGCTGTTTCAATATATGATATAATGAAAAAGTTCTTTTACATGATATATCATATCATGAATCAACTGAAAAGTCATTATTTGATATCAGAGTGTATAACGCATTAGCATAATATCAAATCAGGACTTATACACAAATACTTATGATATCATATAATGATTTTGTCGAAAAGTCATGATATGATATAATGATTTTGTCGAAATGTCTTGATATCATATCATGACTTTTCGGAAGTTCATGATATGATATAATGCTTAATGTTAATAACATTATATCAAATAATGACAAAAACGAATAAGTCATGATTTGATATAATGTCTGTTCGTTTATCAATTATTTATATATAATGACAATTTTAGTCATGATATGATATAATTAACGTAAAATAATTTTTGGACACATGGCGTTCCATAGTCCTTCAGGACAAAAACTTTTACCTGTTTAAAATCGCTATAACTATAATATAAAGATTAATGCCCAGCATAACGTACGCAAAAGAGCCAGACAAGAATATAGACATAAAATTTATTTAATAAGTACTAACGTTTCGTCTTTGACTTTTTGTACTTATTAAATAAATTTTATGTCTATATTCTTGTCTATATGGCTCTTTTGCGTACGTTATGCTGGGCATTAATCTTTATGTTACAATTTACGATTACGATTCCCGCCTGGTTCATCACTTGCGGCTATAAGCCTATAACTATAAGATTAATTTGTAACTTTTCTATCGAAGTGTTAGGATAGCACGGCAGAACGGCAATATATCAGCAATATATAGTTCATTCTCAATTGAAATGTTACGATAGCACGGCAGAACGGCAATATATCAGCCAATATATCTCATTTTCAATTGAAATGTTATGATAGCACGGCAGAACGACAATATATCAGCAATATAGTTCATTCTCAATTGAAATGTTACGATCGCACGGCAGAACGGCAATATATCAGCAATATAGTTCATTCTCAATTGAAATGTTACGATAGCACGGCAGAACGACAATATATCAGCCAATATAGTTCATTCTCAATTGAAATGTTACGATCGCACGGCAGAACGGCAATATATCAGCAATATAGTTCATTCTCAATTGAAATGTTACGATCGCACGGCAGAACGGCAATATATCAGCAATATAGTTCATTCTCAATTGAAATGTTACGATCGCACGGCAGAACGGCAATATATCAGCAATATATAGTTCATTCTCAATTGAAATGTTACGATAGCACGGCAGAACGACAATATATCAGCCAATATATCTCATTTTCAATTGAAATGTTACGATAGCACGGCAGAACGGCAATATATCAGCAATATAGTTCATTCTCAATTGAAATGTTACGATCGCACGGCAGAACGGCAATATATCAGCAATATAGTTCATTCTCAATTGAAATGTTACGATAGCACGGCAGAACGACAATATATCAGCAATATAGTTCATTCTCAATTGAAATCCAAGTCTGCCCTCTTAATTAAGACTTTTAATTAAAGGGGGGTTTTTTGGGAGTGTATAAAAGGCCGCGTGGAGATTTTGTTCGCGATCAATAGAGATCACCCAAATAAAAACCCCTTTAAGTATGTTTTAATGCAAGTGCATTTGAGGATATATGCACGGCCATTACTTTATATGCACATGTATAATTACTAATGTTACGATAGCACGCGTAACATTTTATTTTTAAAGAAACAGTCCGCTTATTTTAGGCATGGTATATTTATTTCTGTCATCCTTTTCGGGCGTACTTGCCATTGGATAACATCCATCTTCTTCATCTAGATATAAATATATTATATATACATACTTGCCATTTTATGGGTCGACTACAACCAAACGTCTTTTGTATCAATCTGTCGTATATTTAAGCCATCCTTTGTGAGTCCTTGCTGCTTTTATATAATTCTTACTGGCAATGTACCAAATATGGTATTTTAAACTTTATTTGTTGATTTGGGAGAGATAAAAACGGTAACAAAGCCATGATAATATGACGTATACTGTCACTATACAGATATGTAAAACATGCCTTTATTTCAGCCATACCGAGAACCGCAGAATATACCCGAGAACTGCGCATTATATGGCACAGTCTTGATTACATCGATCTCACCCTCCCCCCCGTCACGCGCAACTAAATGTCCTGTACTATCCCTACAAATCCTATATAATTCAGACTCTGCGAAGGAGAGTGGTTCAACTCTGTCTCTGCCCTTAGTTTTCAACCGATTGAGAGACAATCGACTTGAACCAAGTCTTGCACAATTACTGTTATTAGTAACCATACTACTTATTGTTAATTTCGATAACTCACAATGCAAATGAGGTTATACTGTAAAACACCTTACATTGTAAATTGTCCTTAAAGTAGTTGCATGCATGTAACACCACCTTTGCTGATGATATCAAGCAGTGGGTTGTGTACTACATATTTTTTATTTATGATCTATTTTTAAATTTTGTGAGCACCTTAAGTTGCAGTACCACCACAGATCAAACAGAACTGGAAAATGAGGCTGTGCCTGTAGGTGGCATAGATGCCAAGTCTCACACATTAAGCGTGTGACACACGCCTCAGCATCATTTCTCATGCTCACATGCTTCAGTTTGATTATCTCACATATAAGCAGAAAGTTAGCTGAGAAGCTAAAATGTAGAGAAATAATGGTGATTGTAAAATGTTTGAACTAATTTCTTTTGGTATATTAAAGCTATCAATAAACATCAGACTGTAAAACTTGTGTTTCCTTGTGTATTTAATAATGTTATCACTGTCGGACATTGCAATCAACACACTACTTCAGGATATAACCTGAGTGCACATTTTTTAATCACTATTGCATCAAGCTGTCAATTATACGGCTTATGTTTGATGTACTTAGTAGGCGAGGCTATTACTCACCCCACTAAGTTATTTATAAAGCAGTTTATAACTGATGTAAAATCTAAAGATGCATAAACATATTGAGATATACGCGTATAAGTATACAACCATAAACTTTAATGTAAACTACAATTATTGGCTTTTAACTACAATGTAACAATATTCCTAAATAAGGAATTTGTGTACTGTGATTTATCAAAGTAAAATCTACTATATCTAAAGTAGTTTAATAACCAGGAAACTAGAATTATTAGGAAGGTGTTAAGCCGTTAAGGGAATTTACCATCGGTAACACTGTTTCTTCGAGATAGGGTTCATTTTAACTTGTATAGAAGTTATAGGTGCCATTCTTAAATCTGTCCGCATGTTGTAGTTTTGACAATCATACATAATATATATATAATTATGAAGAATTTTCTTTACCTGTAAATTTCTCCTTCTTGGCAGTTGTAATAGGTTACACTATACTAGAATTATACTAGGATTATACTAGGTTTCTTTATAAGATTAGACAATGTTACAGGATTTTTTCCCCCAGCGTATTCTTACGCCAGGGTTTCTTAGGTTTTTACCACTACTGTGGTTTTGTGTATTTTCGCATTCAACCTGTAACTTTTTTGTTGGTGACAATGTACGAGTGGTGTTACGATCAGTTACAATCTGCCATGCTCATACTGCCGACGTTATTATTATAGGAATACTTCATTCTCGTAGATTTATGAGTTTATATATCTGTTTGTAACCTATGTCATTTTGTGTGTGTGCGTTTTTATCCTTTTAATGTCAAAACATTAGGTGCAGTACATCACTCTTCACAATATTGATAACTTTTGCCGAGGATAATACTGCCTTTTCAAGCTTTGGTTTCTAGAATGCCTTCTATCCGCTGAACAAAACAGGTTGCTTCTACTCCTACTGCTTCTTGGGCAAACCAACAGTGTCAAGCAGCTGCACCTCGCCGCGGTTTACGTTCACAGGCTGCTTGTGGTGAGGCTAGTGGGCCAGTCTGTGTTCTCGGACATCCAACCTCCGCAGCGCCTGTCATGCCAACGCCTGCACCAACAGTGATCCCATCGCCGCTGCCGGATGATCTGGTCACAACATTGGTTTTGTCGGTAACAGCCACAGTTACACAACAGCTTTCGGCGCTCCTACCATCTCTTTCGACTGCTCTTCCAGGGATTTCTCCACCATCGTCTTTGATGTTTCCTACGGTAGAGTCTTCATCTTCTGCCCACGCAACAGCTTTGGTTCAGGGTGCACTTGGTGAAGCCTACTCCAACATATCAGGTCAGGCACGTCCTTTCACTATATACCAGAACAATTGCTCCCCAATCAGCCTTTTAATTCCGCTAGCTTGCCAATCAATGCGCAAGTTCCTGACAAAATTATAGATCTTTATGGAGGGAAGAGTGTGTTAATTTTGGCATTTTACTGAGCAATCTTGACCCAACCGTACATTACGAGATCAATGTGTGACCTTCAGACGCTGGCCGGCCTGCCTCACTTGTTTTATAACTGACTGCAAAATCCGGTAAACAAATAAAAAATATCAATGATTGGCTTCGTGCTTTTCACTCAACGATCGCCCAAGCCTGTTTTGCCCTCCGTTGCCAACACCAGTAAAAGTGTCTAATCTAGAACTTTTATTAGATGGCTATGAGCCACATCTTGTTGATAATTTAATGTTTGGTTTTTCATTTGGTTTTCGTATTCATTTTCAAGGGGCTGAACGATCATTTAAAGCCCGCAATTTGCGATCAGCTTTGGACAATCCTAAGGCAGTTGATTCAAAATTAAACAAGGAATTAGAGGCAGGTCGGCTTACTGGTCCTTTTACTTCGCCGCCACTTAAATATTTTTGTGTGTCACCATTAGGCCTGGTTCCTAAAAAGCAACCAGGCGATTTTCGCATGATTCATCATTTGTCCTTTCCAAACGGTACATCAGTCAATGATGGGATACCGGACATTGAAACGTCGGTTCGGTATGCCACTGTTGATGATGCCATTCGACTTATAAAACAAGGTGGTCCTGGTTGTTTGTTGGCCAAAACTGACATCAAAAATGCATTTCGAATTATACCTATCAATCCGGCAGATTACCACCTTTTAGCCATCAAATGGCACAAATTTTATTACTATGACCGTGCTATGCCCATGGGCTGCTTGAGCTCATGTTGGACTTTTGCTCAGGAAAAGCTGCTTATCGACAAATTACTTCATTTACTTGATGATTTTCTCATTATCTCATCTACTTGTTTTGTATTGTTACTGTTAGTAAAGCAATACTTATTATGAACTTTAAAAGCAAAGGGCTATGCGAAGGATGATCTAAGTTGAGGTAATAGAGTTTAAAGCTTTACATTGCTCCAATAAACCAGTGATTCTGTGAATGGAATGAGGAGTAATTATTTAATACTTTTCGGTTTGTGGAAACACCAAAAAAATTTATTGCTGTACTTATTATTTATTTATTATTTAATTATTTATTTACGTGGTGTTTCCACAAACCGAAAAGTATTATATATTTTATTGCCATGCAATCATGCAAAGAACTTATGAGGAGTAATTAGGTTCAGAATGTTGCACTGTCCTTTTCGATTTGGGAGTACTCCTTTTGCCAGCATGGAAAGTTTGTTTCTTGTGTATTGAATTTTGATCAAGGTTCAGTAACATGTGCCAGTGGCTGCACAAATCCTGTTTTAAACTTATTCACATCCGCTGCCAAGTTGCACCTTTTAGAGTGAGACTGCACAGATTCTAAACATTTGAAATACAGTCAGTCAGTGCTCAATCAAATTCCCTTTATTAAATATCTGAAATACAGACAGAAACATAGATATCTTATATACACTAGATAGTACATCTAATTATTCTGCCATTCAAAAATTGAAGCTGTGATTGCATGCTCAGGATATTCCCACAAAATGAGAAGACTCGTATGTTTTCTATTTCTTAAACAGGGAACTTAAACATTAAGTTAAACCTATTCCAAATACATTTTCAAACTATTCAACTGACGAAAGTTATTGTTGTTGTTATTAGCATGCAATGCGCTCTGAGATTGGCAAGTGGGTAAGGGACAATGCCAGCATGCACCCTCAAATGACACCTCAACTTGCGGGCATGATATTTGAGCACATGTTATCGGGTTGCCTAGCAACAGATACAAAAATAGAACATGAAATTTGAGCTTTTCAATGGTGTATCATGCAAGCAAAACGGTCATAAACTCGCAACATTTTTCAAAAATAATGAACTATATTTTGAAATAAGTGTATTGAATTAATGCGCTTGCTTGCCACATGCAAATACTCAAAACTCCACTGAACAATTATGGCTTAAATGCTTTGCATTTGCAGAATTAAATCCATCCCTTTCTTTCTTCTGTTTTGCTGGGATATCGATTTTCCACTTGAAAACGAAAAGAAATGTATCCCAACTTGGGTCATAACTATTACAACTGTATACCGGGCAGTACATGTTTTTACCTTCGGCTTGTATGCAATAAAGCAAGAACATTTGTTTGTGGGCCTTTATAGCTTTTTCACAAACAATGTTGTGTTAGCCTGTCAGCAGCTATAATTGTGGTTTCTGTTTTGGAACTTCCAGAGTAAGGTGCGATGTGGGCGCAGCCACCATAAAATGTCACTACACAATATTTAAATAAATTAAATCGCATGATGTTGATACAGCATGTTTACGTTTAGATTACGTTTGCCTTACATGTAATATGTGGGATAAGTGTAATGTTACATAACTCCTGTTCATCTATTCTGATGTCTTTTATAGAAATATTTTGAATTAGAAAAATCGCATACAGTGTACTGTTGCTGATGGTACATATACAGGGTGTCCCAAAAAACCCTGAAAGCATTGAAATTAAAGCATTATTTGAATGCTCTAGCACTAAGCTAATCCCACGAGTGCATGAATGATTGACATAACATAATCAGCAGAACTATTTTTATGTCAGACAAAACGAACTTAAGTACTAAACCGCGGTGGCCACATTAAAACTGACATAAAATTTTATGCAAGCAATTATTTCAGCCTATTCAAAATTTGGTTTTAATCAATATGTACTTATAAGCTGTTTCAGCCAGGAAAATTGCACGCATCAAACAAATAGCAAGATAGTGTTCACAGTATTTACAAGTGTGATTATTTACAGAAAAATCAAGCGCCTTGACCTTCAACATGTCCCCCCTTCTCTTGCAACGCAAACCATTGTTCGCCTGTGCATATCGCGAACTTGCCCAAGTAACAAGGGCAGGCTGCTCTCGTAAAGTATTACATTCGCAAATGATTCTTTGTCGCAACTCGTCAATATTGCAAGGTGGACTTGAAAATACTTTGTCTTTGATGTATCCCCATGACATGGTGTCAAGTCTGGAGACCGAGGTAGCCATTCAACATCATCAGTAATGAATTGTATTTTTTACAAGGTGTGAATGTGGTCATTGCTGTTAACCCTGAAGTATGCCGATGTTGTTATTAAACAAGCATTAACATATTGTGCACGCACATTTATTTAATGTTATATATTTTATAGGTTCTTATGCGCAGTTTTCTACAGACAGCTTGTGGTTTGGTATGAGATTTTATGGGCAGTTCGAGTCATCTGGAAAAATGGCCTTTTCTATGAAAATTCATTTACTTCAACCCATAGAAATGTGTTTATTTCACACCACCCTTCAGAAAACCTCATCCACTGGGGGTATGTCAAATGGAATGGTGCACTACTACAGTACATTTAATTTCAATATTTATTCATTTTTAAGTTCAATATTTATTTCTCAGTTGACTGTGTGACGACGTTTGATGCAATTGGAACATGCATCTATAGTCAAATATTATAGGGACCATGTATAAAATTAATTTATTATATAAACATAAGTGTTATATAGAGTTTTTGGCCACTGAGAAAAATCGTATTTAAACACACATAAAAAATACGATATTTTTACGTGTGAAAATATCATTTGTTGTAAAACGCATTGCCACAGACGTTTTATTGTTTTTCACTGAATTTTTTTATATAGTAAACAGAAAAATACATGGGTGAGTGGAAATACCAGATTTATTTCTCGTGTTGAACATGATATCTCACTCGTTTGCTGCGCTCACTCGTGAGATATCATGTTAAACACTCGAAATAAATCAGGTATTTCCACTCACCCATGTATTATTCTCTATATCTTAGAAGGAAAATATAAAACAGTTTTTTTTTATGCAGGAGAGACCTTTCGAAGTCTGTCTTTCCAGTTTCGTATTAGGGAGAGAACAATTTCAGCAATTGTGGAAGAAACCTGTGAGGCACTCTTCATAACACTAAAGGAACAGTATTTAAAGGTGATATTATGCATTATCATTATATCATGCATTACCATTTCAATATCGATATACAGCTTCCTTTCGGTCTCTAAGAAAACTTTAATTAACTTGATGTTGCATAGATCCTCTTCGTTGAGTTGTGAAACATGTTTTTCGAGTCTCCTGATAAACTCGAAATTGAATACGAATTTCGCTATCTGGCACATCAACAATATTAGTTGCCAATTGCTTCGAGACTTTGGTGAACAGTTCTCCATCCAAGGCTAAGACATGTGCAGCACCCTTCTGTTTAACCTTTAAAGCTAATGATCTTAGATCAATGATTGGTCTCAAGTTTTTTAGCATTGATTTGTCGCCTTCATCATACACCTTGTTGTGAAGACATTCATACATTCTTTGTACTAGCTTTTGTAAATCCTGTTGTGCGTTGACAATGACGATACCTTGTTGCTCATCTCGGGCATTTCTTGCAGCTCTTCTTTCTCCCATCCGTGAATGATTGGTCTCAAGGTTTTTAGCATTGATTTGTCGCCTTCATCATGCACCCTGTTGTGAAGACATTCATACATTCTTTGTACTAGCTTTTGTAAATCCTGTTGTGCCTTGACAATGACGATACCTTGTTGCTCATCTCGGGCATTTCTTGCAGCTCTTCTTTCTCCCATCCGTGTGTTGATTTCTTCACCATATGACTGTGCCATGGGAATGCCTCGATATGAACCAAGTGTTTTGATTTCTTCTAAATCACGGTGGAGCATTGGCCATTGACATTTAGAACTATGTAGCATGGTCTAAAGATGCAGTCATCAAATTAAATTTACCGATCACAACTGAGTGAAATCGGTCAAATTTATCATGTGGCAGCATATCAACAGTCTGAAGGATGTTGACGCCATGACCAAAAACTTCATAAATATCACAAAGTCCAGAAAGTATCACAGTAAACCGCTTGTTGAGTATCTTGTCTGAGAGATCACTTGCGTGGGTTGCCTTCTTCCTGTCGTCACTGTTTCCTTCCATGTTTTCAAGCTGAACTTCCTCCAAGGTGCGTATGATGGCAGGGAAATCTTCGCGGAAACTGACGTATAGCTTTCTTGCATGGTTAGCAAACCTTGTCTCGGAAAAGAATTTGGGTGTTTTGAAACTGATGTCAGCTTCTCCGCTCTCCTTCATTTCCTTGGCTACGGAAAAGAGGTGCTTGATTCTTTACCATAATTCACAACCTTAAATACTTCTCCAATGATCTTCGTGGTGGAAACTAACCATTCAAATGTTGGATCTTTCCTTATATGGATGTCTTGTAGTCCAGCTTTGTGAAGCGGGTCCCAGTCATGGTGTTTCCTCTAGTTTCCCTCGAAACCAAAATAACAGTCCAGTTTCTCTGGGACATTGAGGTGGAAATATGCACCGTCGAATGAACCGCCAAGGTACTGTGACCTATTTATGTCGTAGATTTTGACGCACTCTGTGATACTGTTGGTCACACCAACTCCAGTGTGCTGTTTAACAACAGGGTGGCCAAGAAAAAATGTGTGTAACAACTTAGGCGAGTCAGGCACGATTGTCGTAAATGTGACAAAATGACGTGTTCGATGCTTCCAAGTCGCCTTGTCAGCTCAAATCTTTCCAGAGGGTCGAAAACCTGTTTGTTCCAAAGGATTGTCTAGAAACCTAGTCAGCCTTCGGGTAACTTCGTTCGACATGATTGGGAGAATTTTCGCAGGAAATGATGACGCAGATGCTCGAAATCAGAGTCTGGCCATCCTTGTTTAAACATGTAGTAGCATATTCTACCAATTCTCTTGCCTGCAACTCTTTCTCGGCGATCGCTTTTGTCCAATTCCTTTTCGTTCACTGTCCTTTCCAGTGCTGTAATGTGGCTAGTAGATTTCAAGTGTGCCAGAAGATGTGTTTTTAAGTTTCGAAACTTCTTTGATAAAACTTTCTCAGGAGGGTCGATAGCACCGACAATGTTGTCATATTTGAATATTGCCAAATAGGTTTTATTAGTTGTAAGTTCAGGCAAATGTTGAGTAACTGGTACACATACAGAGCACAAGACTGCTTGCTTTCTTTCGTCGTAGCGGAATTCGTCGAACTTGCGTAGAAGATCATCTAGAGATCGGCAGCTATTCATCAAAAAGTTATCTGGCAGAACTGTTTCACGAGGTGAGGATGTGGCACTATCATCGCCGCTATGATCCAGTGTCAGATTGGAATTACCATGCATCTCATCGAGTTTAAGCGACAGATTATCCAGTTTCTCATTGATTTGTGACAATAAGTAAGGGGTTTGTTTGGCGTCAATCGCTACTGTGGCTTCAGACTCGAGGTTACTTTCTAGATCTGACGTTTTCTGGTCTTCAGAAACCTCTGGCGCCACCACTGTCATTGCCAACTCGGTGAACTCGCCATAGGGATCACCAAGGTCATCACTAGATTCACCAAGGTCATCAGTGCAAGTGGGCTCAATTGTTTCTTCAAAGGCTCTCTTTGCTTTGTTATTTTCTTCATCGTTTCAAGCCCTCTTTCTTCCAACTGGACCATCCACTCGATTGAAAAGGGATACAATCGAAGACTGGCATGCAGGATGCAAGTCATTTGGTTTTTCTTCTGGGTGCTGACGTTGTATGTGAACTCGATAGTTTTGAAGCAGAACCTCAGTTAGACCCACTCTACATTTTACTTTATTTCGTTTTGCAAAACTCACTCGATAATTACCAGATGACATGAATTTGTGAGTTCATAACAAACTGCAAAGCGTGAACCACAGGAAACTAGGCCTTGGAATTGTTGGAAAATATTACGACACTTTTCAAAAACAGATGTTTTGGAAATTTTAACGGTGAGAATTTCGAACGTGCTCGCTTGATGGTGTTTAAAAATATAGTAAATACAGCAAGCTAAGCAGGTTATAAATAAGTATTGTGTAAATGCATTTGCCACGCCTCTCATTTGTTTTCAGCTCGCGTCACGTCAGGTCACTCATGTTTTGAAATTTTTGACTGAGAGAAATTTTCTTTATAATATTGGTGTTTTAACGTAAAAATACAAAGTAAATAAATTTTTTAATTTTAAAAAGCGATTCATAGGATAAAATGAAAATATTAGAAAGTATATTGAAAGTATTATAGTCAAAGAAGATAGTTGAAAGAACCAAATATAATATCTACCAACGAAACAATAGTCAATACTTATTTATCAATATTTATTAGTCAATACTTATTACATGTGATATTTATTCGCAAAAAAATATGATATCAACATTGACTTAATTGGGTAAACATAACGTTGACATAAGCAAACGTAACGTTGAGTAGAGGTCAACGTGACGTCGACTACTTGCAAACAACACAAAAATTCGGCGCGCGGCACGTTTAATTGCAAATGGCATGCAGTAATATATACATCCCATTTTCGGACGTTGAGCGTGACCTTCCCGTCCTTCCGGCAAGGTTACACAATTTATTACTCACAGGTTCCTTTGAAAACAACTGTAGATGTTTCAAATTGAAAATATTGCCGTATTTTAAACGTTTGCTCTGCGTTATTACAACGACTTCGCTTGTTTTCGGGAAATTAACAACTTTTCTATTGCACTGCTAATTCGCTAAAAGATCAAGAAAAAATTTGTGCCTACACAAATGGAAAATGTGCCTGCGAGCGGCGCTCACGCACTTTATCGAGGCCTAACATTGATCAAGATGATGATGATCAAGATGATGATGATCAAGATGATGAAGATCGCGTAAAGCGTGAAAATCAGAGTAGCGACGCAAACATTCAAACCTTGACTGAATTAATTCCGCTCTACCTATTATGGTATTGAGCGCTCTTCTACCTTACGTCAACTCCACGACTATTCTCTTAAAAATAGTCTTCAGTATATATATATATATATATATATATATAT